AGCAGGCTCCCCGCCGAGCAGGGAGCCGGACACGGGGCTCGATCCCAGGACCCTGGGATCATGACCTGAGCCGAAGGCAGCCGCTTAACCGACTGAGCAACCCAGGCACCCCCCACCCCTCCCAGGGCATTTCTTTTTACACTGAAGCCCAGGCCCTACCCAGGGAAATTCGGATTCATTTGTCTGGGGCGGGACCCCAGCGCTGGTATTTCTGTGAAAGGCTCTGCGGGCGATTAGGTGAGCGTCCAAGAGTGGCGGGGGATGTCTGAGAAGGCGGCCCTCAGCCTCTGTCCTCTCTGTCCCCCTCCCCGCCACAGTGTTCCACCAGCTGTGGGCTGGGGGCCTACTGGCGAAGCGTGGACTGTAGCACCGGGACGGATTCTGACTGTGCCGCCGTCCAGAAGCCCGACCCCGCTAAGAGGTGCCACCTCCGTCCTTGTACCAGCTGGAGAGTGGGGGTGTGGAGCAAGGTAAGTGACCGGGCTCCGTGGGTTCTGGGGGGACGACAGCCTTGCCACGCGCTTGTGGAAGGAGGCGTGTCTCCTCCCTTCCTCCCTTGCTGCCTCCCTCCTGCCCTTCCCTCTGATACCACCTGGAGGAGTCAGTCCTGGGCATCACCATAGGCCCGCTCGAAGTTACCCAGCAGCCTTAGAACACATACAGGGCTGTTATTAACCCACATGTTTTTACCTGCTGGCCTTTCCCCTTCCCAGATAAACTGGAACAAAACGTTAAATTCGTGTATCGGATTGCTGGTCCAGCATGCCACATTGTTTCTAAATTACTTAAATGTCGCATTCTAAATTCTAAATTCTAAACCAGACATCCTCACAGGTATCATTGAGTCATGACTCAGCAGCTGCTCACGAAGGAAGCGTACTTTTTCATCCTCAGACCCCAAATGAAAAGAAAGCGGAGACAGAAAAAAAATTGATCTTTCAACGTGTATTTCCCGTACTGATCTTTTTGAAGTGTGGTTATACCCTCTCTGCTAATCTGGCTGTGGTTACTCATCTTGCTGTGCTGTCTGTAGGGTCCCTTGTGAAAGACTGTATCAGGTTCCAGGATTAGTTAGCCTTGGTGCTTTGGGGCACTAACCAGGCCCAAGCTGGCCTGGGGCTGAGCCAGCCGCTGGGGGATAGGACACCCGTCAGTGGTGGGGCTGACAGCTGATGGGCAGGAGGAGGTGCAGAGATGAGAGCAACGCATGCGCCTTCTGTCTGCCAGTTTCTCTTGACAGCTGAGACACAGAAGGGAGAAGAAAGAGCTACCCAGAAGTTTGGAGAGGCTGGTGAGCCTTGTAGATGTTAGCTCCATCATCCAGTATCGAGCTCCTGCTCCCAGACAAGCAGGACCACCAGATGTCTCACTGGACGTCTCTGGTTCTGGCAGACTTATCTGGAAGCCTGGAGCGTGCAACATCATTTATCTGCGTTAGGCTCCTTCTCCCAAAGTAAGGCTCCGATTCTGGGGAAGAGAGGGACAGTAGGGTTACTCCCTGAAAGATTACCACACATCCCTTTGATACCCGCCACCCTCCCTTTCTTCTGCTTTCATACTATTTTTCTTCCAAGAACGAGTGCTAGTTCTTTCTTTTTCCTCCAACTTCTTACAAACTCAGGATCCAGCAAGGACTAAATGCTTTGCTACAAATTCTCTTCCATATCCAGAAAAATCTCGAGAGACATTTTATATCCCTGACCTGGCCAAACATTGAGCAGTCCTAAAGGCCCGCCTTGTTATCATTGCGAATAGTCCTTTCCTTGGAAATTGTCTAGCTCGAAGAAAGGACAGATGTGTGAAATCATTCACACTTTTGAAAAGACACTCCCATGAAAAGTACCAGGAATTCTAGCCTGTGAAAAACCCTGCATGAGAGATCCAGAAGCAGTTCTCTGGGGTCAGACCTCCTGAGGAAAGCCCTGCTCGGCCGGCCCGTCTGTCTCTTGGTGTCCTCTCTCATGGCGGGGGGGTGGGGGGGGGGGATGGGGAGAGGGGGGCTGCGGGGCTATGTATGCCCCCCTGCAGTACGTCTGGTTCTGGTGGTTTCGTGGGAGCTCTCCTATATCACCAGGCCTGCCAGAATGAGATAACCACCACATCCAGGATCGGATCCTCCCAAGTTACTCCATTCCTCTCACTCAAGAAAATGTCTCTTCTCTCGGGATACTAGATAAACCTTGCCAAAGATGTGGCTTAACCACTGATCGTCAATTGCCCTGACTTCTGTGTTTCTATTATTATGGGTCTTACACACCTGACTTCCATTTTTCCCAGGCATGTTAATTTAGATTTTATCTTAAATTTTGACGAGTAAGTATAATTCCTTTTTAACTACCGCATTATTAACCAGTTCATACAGATGTCTGAAGTCCAAATCATGCACCAGGAAAGATTTGAGGGCCTTCTTCGTTTCACTGTTCTATTAGGACTTCGAAACACGCTCAGAGGCAAACCTGCAAAACCTAGAGTCAGAGCATAGGCCCTTTTAATGTCTTTAAATGCCCAGAGGGTTTAGATTCTGCCATGTTGATGGTTTGCCTTTTCACAGATACTTTCTCAGAGGGAAGAATTCTAATTTTACCTTGAATCTTCTGCATTATTCCCCCAGTCTCCGCCCCCCATCCACAGACACCTTAATCTTCATAGGACTGCCGGTCTGCCTCAGCCGGCCCCAAGCCTACAGGTAGCAGCCCTGAGGCCTCTGGGTCACTCGCCAGCAGTCCTCTCGCTTTGTGATGGCTGACTGAGTTGTGCTTGTTTTACCGGCTTCTGTCTCCAGCACCGTGGGGCTCCCTGATGAAGCCCGATACAGCTGCTGTGGACACGTTCCCCTGTGTGTGAGAGTAGAATAGGACTCTACGTTCAGCCCCCTGCCTTTACCGTGTCTAGAAGCAGTCTTTCAGGATGGCTTGCTTCCCCTTCACGCATCAGTCTGTCTGAAGCAAAGTTAAGGTTGTAGTCCTCGGGTTTGTCCCAGAGGCATGCTTGGGAAGACAGTTCTGCAGAACTGAATCCTAAAAGTGGTGCTGGGCGGTGGATGGGACACATGTGGGTTGGCAGCCCTGCTCTGTCATGACCAGCATATGACACTGGTGCATTCAGCTTAGAAACTGTGTTTCTCTCACCTCTGAGAAGTAAAGTGGATGATATTGCCTCCAATTACCTCATAGAATTGTTATAAGGATCAGAAAAGAGAATGTTAGTGAAACAGCTTTGTAAATGGTAAAAGACCGTTCAGAAGAAATCCTGGGCAAACTTTGAGCTCCAGATAAAAGTCAGGACTGGCTCTTGGGTGTTTGCTAACCTCTGGCTTCCTGGACTCAGGGCAGAAAGCCTGTAGACAGGTGAACTTGGAGAAAGTTCTCTCAACAGGACTGGCTGGAGCAGGTGTCTACTCCCCAGTATTAAGCAGACAAGGTGCTCAAAGTGTCCAGGAACTTTGGAGGACTTGACCTACCTTGGGCCCTGGCACTCGCCAATACTATCACGTGCCTAGCATTACACAAGAGCTTTAGATCATCAGTTCTGTTTTCATCCAGCTTAGGACCTTCTTTATAATTCCCACTGAGGAAATGAAAGCTCGGGGTGTTTAAATCACGAATGCTCAATCACACAGCTGTTACCAAACGCTCCCGGTTTTAAGAAACCATCAACAGGGGGACACGTCATCCATTTAATGACAGCTTTTCAGGAAGAAAGAGAACATTATACAATAAATATGTACATCAGTTGTAAGACACACGCCAATTTCAGAGCATTAAAATTTGTATGAGGAAAAAAGAGGGAGTGTCATCATGCAGGAAATTCAGGAAGTGACAAAATGGGTTTGAAAAGCCTTCCATTGGGTTTGACACCAAAGCGATGCATCTCCCACAGCTCCACTCACCGCCTGGTGGAACATCTCGATCCCTGCACCTTCTGAAGTTTTGTCAACTGGTGATTTGATAGCCCCTTTATTTGCTTTCTGAGAACGAGCACTTCCCTTTTCATAGTTAAGTCTTAACAGATCTTGACTATTTCTGAAATGAATCAGAAACATTTTTACATTTTTTTCTTGGAATGTTCTGTCTTCCCTCCTAGGCCGTGTTGCACCTTTATTTCAGCAGTCATTGACTTTTGCTGGAAAGTGAGAGAAAGTGGCAGTCTTTCCTTATGGTCTTGGGTTTCAAATATTTGCTAATATATTTGTATATATTGCTAGTCTTTCTGTCTTATTCTCCTTCTTGTCTTTGTGTTTATTAGATTTTATAGATGGTCAGGGCATTGCTACATTTTTTTGGATCTGAATTTTTAGAAATGAACTTATAGGGAAAAAGCCCCTTTCTTGCTAAATACAGACCATCCCCAACTTTGATATATAACACGTTCCCAGGAACATATATTAAAGTCCAATGTGCAGATGTCAAAACATAGAATTGCATGTTATAAGGGAGCCTCTGTCCCCAGAAAGCAAACACTGAGTAGCAGGAAGGTCATTATAGACTAAAAATCACAGCATTTATTTTATTCTTGGTATAATTTGTTGTAAGTCTGAACCGTCAGACATATAACACCCCCGAAGGTTTTAGATTAAGGGATCCCTAAAAAATAGAGGAATGACAATGAATTAGAAGCATTTAGGACCACAGGAAGCATGAACCCAAGACCACTCCAGTGAGGACTGATGTCCAGACCCTGGGGCTCTCCATGATGGCCCCTGCGCATCTCTCTGTCCACCCCCACTCCTTGCCCTAGCAGTCTGATCCGCTTGCTGTTCCCAAGCAAGTCTTGTTTCATAGCACTGTGCCTCTGTATGTGCCCTTCTCTCCATCTTGAATGTCCCCCACCCTGTTTGTCAGCTGAGTGAGCATCTGCTTATCCTATATGCTTCAGCTCAAACTTTGGCTCCTTCATTTAGACCTTTCCTGACCTCTTCAGGTGAAATTGCCCACCTCCTCCATTGTGCCCTCACTAGATCATGAACAACGTATGATGTAATCTTTATTCCTTCTACTCATTTATGTAACTCTCCTCTCCTGTTACATTGGAATATAGAGTCTGGAACATAGAAATGCCCAAGAACTGGAAGGGAAGTGGGGGTGGCATGGGGGAAGAGATGGAAGGATGAATTTTGGTGCTGTTCAGCTTAGAATTTTTGGAATGAAATATTTAATCTTAAGGGTCTTATGAAACTGTTCAGCATAAGGAAAGGAACAGAAAAGCATTTTTTAATATCCCAATTTAGTATTTGGTTCAACTTGGAAAGCAAGAAAAGTATTCTGAAATCAGAACAGAATACAGTGCAGCGATCCCATACTTCATACCACTCCAGAATGTTGGGATAGTCTAATCATCTAGTTTAACCTTTCCACACCAATGGAGAAACAGAGGCTGAGAGACGAGCAGTGGTTAACCCACAGTCAGGTAACCACTTGCTGTCAGGATCACACCTGAGTGCAGTCTACCGACCTCCCAACGCTATGCTCGAGCATTTCACTATTCTTGACTGAACACCCTGTGTGAGTCTAACGTGGAACGTGTATCAGGATGACTTTGTAAACAACACAAGGGAGAATTGTGATTTCATTTTCTCTTCCAGTGGCCCCTATAAGCTAAGGATATTTTTCATTCTAACTTGATCTGGTCTGCAGACCAGAGCTGAGGTGGTAACTGGAAAATGAGCACTTTTGGTCACAGTAGGGCATTGGCCAGGCTTTTTGTTCTAGTCTGGCTTCTGTCCTCAGTCTGGTCCACAGGCTCCAGGTTAGGAAAACATGAATCCAAATGACTGTCCTCTAGGGCAGTAAGAAAATGAATATAATAATTGGCATTCAGCATACAAACAGAACAGCATTAGGAGTGATTTAATATCCTGCCCCTTCTCTCTTGCTAACTGAACAAGAGGCTGTTTTGAAAATGGAATGGAAAAGTCATGGATTTAGTGAGTGTCTTCCCTTATTATTTATTTCAGCATATTAATAAAGTTCATTTCCCATTGAATGTGAATAACAAAAGGGGAATGCTAATTTGAAAATTGAATTTTGAAACAGATTGCAGCAACAAATGAAAAATAGGAAAATAAAATCTCATTTCATACTTACGTCTTGTAAAATTCCCTTGTCCTAATACAGAGCCCGGTTGCTTTATCACATGCTATTTCCCAGAAATCTGTTTTGTCAAACGAATGGCTGCTTTGTGTGGAAATTATTAGCATGTTTCCTCATTTGTTCTGTGGCTCATTTCAAACTGACAGTTACTTTTTACTTTGTGTACTTACTACATGGCCGGAATAGTGAGGTTTTTTTAAAAAAATTATTTATTTATTTATTTGAGAGAGAGAGAGAGCATGAGCGATGGGGAGGGGTAGAGGGAAAGGGAGAAGCAGACTCCCCACCGAGCAGGGAGCCCGATGCGGGGCTCGATCCCAGGACTCCGGGATCATGACCTGAGCCGAAAGCAGACACTTAACCAACTGAGCCACCCAGGTGCCCAGGAAAGTGAGGTTTTTTTATTTGTTTTGTGTGTGGGGCGGGGGGGTGCCATTTGGCAAGTGTCATTTATTTCTAAGAAGCTAAACATTCAGTTTTTGGAAGCATTAGAGCATCAATCTGTCCCTTGTCACATGGGTCAGCAGGATGCAGGGGCTGCTATGCACGCTGTCAGCGTGTGGGAGGGGGCAGTGAGGAGGGCCTTGTAATGGCTTTCCATGAGCCTGTGCTGAGCAAACTCTCAGTGATGAAGGCAGAGGATGTCGGCTCTGGGAGGAAGGATGGTGGTAGGGACAAGCTCACTCCCGTGAGTCAAACTGCTGAGCAGTTATTCCAATTATTTCCCTCATATAGACCCTTCACTTGACAAAGGGCAACCCATCCTGCCTTCAGAGTCACGGAGCCAACAGGTTTTTAGCAGGATTCTGGGGGAGAGATGGGTGTGGCTTGGCAGAGACGTCCCCTTGTGGGCAGCCTCGTTCACCCAGGATGACTACACCCCAGAGGGACTGGCTGCCCACTGAGGCAGACCTGCACCTGCAGACACCCAACCCCAGGGTCTGCGATCTTCACCACAGCCCTGGGAGAGGCAGTTCTATCCCAGTTTACAATTATGACACCTGAGGCTCAGAATGTTTCTGTGACTTGCCCAAGAGCTCATGACAAGTGAGTGACAGAACGGGACTTGCCACCCGGTTCTTAGACTTCCCCGCCTGTGTTTTCTGACATGGGCGGCCCCATCTTTGGATGCTGCTTGAGTGACTCCCTCTCCAGGGCCTGTGAGGGAAACAGGTCACTTGAGCTAGACTTCACCCTGCTTTGTGCCTGGAAGCCTGGAACTCCATGGTTCTCTCTGCAAACCCCCCTGGAATTCAGGGGAATGAAAGCCTGATGCCAGGGACTCAGGTATCCCCTCTTGTGTCCCTCTGCATGCAGTGTTCCAGAAACTGCAGCGGGGGCTTCCAGATCCGGGAGATTCAGTGTGTGGACAGCCGGGACCACCGCAGCCTGAGGCCGTTTCACTGCCAGTTCCTGGCTGGCATTCGTCCCCCGCTGAGCATGAGCTGCAACATGGAGCCCTGTGAGGAGTGGCACGTGGCGCCCTGGAGCCAGGTATGGCCTCCAGATACATCATCCACAGACGCAGGCAAATGCGAATCTCTGTGTTACCTTGCGAGTCTAGAAGTCAGGGGAGACCACATGTGCATTGTGACAATGAGTGGCCTCCACTCAGTGGCACAGCACTTTATGGAGGAGGCCGAACAGGTCAACTTAAAGACTATGTTGTGTGGTTTCAGCTGTGACAATTCAGTGTTTTAGCACAACCCAGTCTCCCTCTGGATATACTGGGCAGAACTGGGGTCCATGTTGGGGAAATGCGTGCAGACCACTCTTGAGGAGAGTCATTGAGGGCGGAGTCTCACATCCCTCTGCTAGGCCTCTGCCTAGTTGAGCTGGGGGGCATGGCCAGCTCCTTGCCACACGCAGTGTATTTTAGAGTTCCACCTCTCAGTTCAATGCCCAGATCACTGTTTATACAAATACAAAGAAGTGTGTTTGTGCCTGTGTGTGTCTGTCCTCTGTTTTGTGAAGGCCTAGGCTCTGCTAGGTCTTTGCCCTATGTCAGCACATGAATGGAAAGTGACTGCTCTTCTCATTTGCCAGTAGGCAAATACGTCAACAGCTCCCAAAAACTACTCCCAACCATATCTGTGTGTGGTAGAAAGAAGAGAAAAAAAGGAACCCAGCATGTTTTGAGTGTGTCTGTGGGCTAGGCATTTTGCCTGCGACACTTGGTTTAATTCTCACAACAACCCGAATAGTAGGCGTTATTAATTTCATTGTATAGGTGAAGAAATTGAGACTCAGAGATTAAGAAATTTACATGCATTCACACAACTAGAAAATAAATGGTGGAACAGGAGTTTCAGCACAAGGCAGACTCCAGCGCCTTGCTCTTTCTACCATAGCAGTTGGCCCAGTAGGCATCAAACAGAGTGAACTGAGGAGAAAGAGTGAATCAGTAACTGTTTGCGGGGGTTGGGGTGGGGGGACCAAACCCTCCACCTGCTCTGGAAAGGAAGGTGGTGAACCACAAGTGTAGGACACAGAGTTAGCGTCAAAGCTTACAGAAGACTGCCCCCCACACACACAAGCCACTTCCTGTCTACATGTCAAGCAGCCATGCTGATTCCTGAGGCTCTGGGCCAGTACCTGGTGCTTTCTGGGGCAGCAGCTACCACTGTCCCTTCTTTCTCCTCCTTCCCTGCTCAGCTCTCGGGCACATAAAGTGCCTGCTACTCCCATGCTCTGGACCTAGGCCTCCAAGCCATCCATGTATGATGAGCCTGGTGACAGCTTTCAGAATCCAGGAATCTGCAGAGGAGCCTTGTAGAGAAGTGCAACTGCAGGTTTTTAAAGATGAGCCATCAGATCTGCTCTCTGAAAAAGATGTATTCTGGGAGCCCCAGCCAGGAGCTGTTCCCTGAAGAGCTCCCACCACCCTCCTTTCTGAAGTCTACTCTGTGTGAGCAAACCACACAGTTGGAAGACTACCCTCTGAGGGAGATGGAAAATGCAAAAATCATTTTGAGTATTTCTCTGGAGCTTTTGAGAGTCTGGGAACCCTTAGGTGCTTTACCCTGACTACTCCTGATGCTACTTTGTCTGTACATACTAGGAGACTACCATCATGAGAATATTGTGGGCCCCTTTGCTTTGTCAGCCGGCCCAGCCTTCCAGCATGGAAGAAGCATTTCTGCTGCGGGGGTGTCTCTACAGGAGAGCTTCTCAAATTTTAGCACACTTCAGAATCACCTGGAGGGTTTGTCAACACCCAGATGGCTGGATCCCACCCCCAGAGTGTCCGATTTGGAGGTCTGGGGTGGGGCCTGAATTTTGCATTTCTAACAAGTACCCAGAAGATGCTAAAGTCGCTGGTCCAGAGACCACACTTGGAGAACCGCTGGTTTGTACTTTCTTCACCTTCTTTCCTGGACATTATGTGGTCAGGTGGCCCTGAATATATGCACACGTGTAGGTATGATGATCTCAAATGGGAGAATCCCTCTCCTTCTCTCCTCATATAGGGTTAAAAACAACAAATAGGCAAAAAAATCCATGTTGATTCTCAAAGGTGGAATATCGTGAAAGCAATAGAATAGTTCTTTTATTGAGCAGAAAGCGTTTATTGCATGTAATTATCCTGTTTTCTATGGCACCACCACTCAATGTCATGCCTGATGTGATGAGCAAGATGTTGCCAACCATAATTATTTTGTTGTTGCTGTTGTTGTTACCATACCATAATTAAGATTTTTCAAAGTACTTTTCTTTTTTTTTTTAGTTTTTTAAATTTTATTATGTTATGTTTCAAAGATTCCTAGTAGATAATGTAATTTCCTTCTAGAAACCTTAGGAAAATGAGACAATAGATCTTATAAAATTATATTAGTGAGCAAAAACCTGACATGTTTTAGAGTTGTATCCCTTTAGGAATCCAGTTTGTCATCTCAAATTTATTTTTGTGAGCATTACAGTCAGTGGATCAGACCCTGGGGCAAACCCATCAATTCCCCTATTCCAAGTATGGCCAAATTTAATTCTAAAGCATTTTGTAGTGGGAAAGGAAGACTGAATCCCATTTTAAGAGGAAATAAAATTCTATTGCAAATGCGTGCTCCCTGTTTGGACTGTTGGAGCTAATCATAATGAAAACACCTACATTTTACATTTTGGTTTCTAGATACTTGTGCTAGAAGCCGGAGTGCAAATAGCATGACGTCCATTCTGGAATGACCACTCATTTAGGTTTTTAACCAGAATTCCTTCTGTGTGACATACTGTTTTACATTGAACTATGTGGCATCTTCTGATTTTCTTTTTCTCCTCTTCATATCCCCAGAATGCCTTTTATTAATTTCCTTCTCTCTCTTTAATTTTTGTTTCATCACTGTTATGTGGTCATCATGAGGAACCTGGTGCAGATTCCAGTAGAGACACTGGTATTCTTAATAGCTCTGTAACCACAAAAATGATAATAAGAAGGTCTTCCCTGATCACTGCAAATGTCATCAGGTGATTTTTACCTAAACGTGTCCCTGTCCTACCTCAGTGTTCCAGGTCCTGTGGAGGCGGAGTTCAGGAGAGAGCCGTGACTTGTCCGGGAGGTCTCTGTGACTGGTCGGAAAGGCCCACGCCCACGGCGCCCTGCAACAGCCACCCCTGTTGTCACTGGGCCACTGGGGACTGGGACCTGGTAAGAGTCACTTATATTCCCTTCCATTTACTTCAGTCTTTTAAAAAATAGCGTTTTTTCCTCTAGATTTCACAGGTAAGGTATATTCATTGTCAATGTTCAGCGTCTCCATTGATTTACAGAGGGTTTCTATATATTTTAGTTCTGGTACTCTTCTGCCATCCATACCTCTAAGTCTGCTAAAAATTGAGCCTTAGCTGACATGTGGTTCAATGTTTACTGTCTTGAGCTCAGAAGAGAAAAGTTCAAACACTATCAAAAGAAAACAGATCAAATACCAATATTATCCCAGAGGCACAAAACCTAAGGAAAGGCAATTTGGGGTCCCAATACCTTGGATCCTGGGGCTTTTCCTGAATCAATCAGGAGTGGATATGCCCTGAAGCTTGAGGCTTAGCCTGATTTTGTGAGTTTCAGATCTTGTCAACCCGCAGATCAGCTTGCCAGATGGCCAGCCTGTTGGATGAAGAGACAAACAAAAAATTAAACTGCAAATGAGGGAAAGATTTATTGTCCTCACAAAGTTTACTTGTTATATAAGTAACTGTATCAGTGACACCAACAACAAAGAAAATTCTCCCATAGACAGATTGTGCCATCCCTCTGATTTGTCATATCCTGGATTCTCTAGAAAATGGAGTCTTAAGGCCAAATCTAAAACTTTATTAGGAAATACAATGTCAAGGACGTAGGGATGACAGGAAAGAGGAGGGAGGGAGGGAAGGAGGGGAAACGAATATGAGGTGATACGTTACCAAACTGACCACGTGTCCTAACTGACCACTGCTCGGGGTCAGGAACAACTGGTTGCTTGCTCTCAAAAGAAGGCCTTCTAAAAGCTGTATGAACTACCTCCTCTTAGGGTAGTTTGTCCAGGGGCAGGAAGGGAGGAGATGATCTATTGGCTCCTATCTCTTGGGATTGCGTAAAAAGTCTCCTCTCAGATGACTAATATCCCCTATTGTCCTGGGTTATTCATGTGTGGGCATTAGGCAGGCCCCACCGTGTCTCATGTCTCAACAAGAAGAGAGTCGGGAGGTGAGAGGCACACAGCATGAACATGGGAGGTGCAGGCCAATGGGTTGGGCTGTGCTTCCCTGAAGTTGGTTACCACCTCAGCTGGGATGGATCAAAGGCCAACAACTGGGAGATGGGGAGGTGGGGGGGGGGGGCAAGAGGATCTGATACACAAATCCCTCAACTATTAATATTTTTTAAAGTAGCTTGTTCTTGTATATTTTGATAGTTACAACACAGGCCAATGCAGTATTTTGCCAAATGTAATGCCCCCAGATACTTTGAAGCCGCCATACCCTTATTGATTCTCATTGTTCAGAGTGGTGCGGTTGCTCCTGCCTGCCCATGACCGGTTCGCAGGCTGGCATGGGCTCTTGAGAAAGGCTTCTGCTGGCACGTCCAACTCAAGGTTGTGCTGGTCTCTGGCCGTCATCCACTTGAATCCAGGAAGAACAAGATGATTCATTACTGCTAAAGGGACATTGTACATGAATCATGTAGCCTGCAAAAATATAAAAAATGCATCGTTTATTATTTTCATAGCTTAGAAAAATGTCCAGGAGACAAGGAAGAATGATGTCAGCCACTTCATTAAGTAGACAGGGCACATAGTACTTTCTGTGAATTCCCTATTTTCATTGGCATCTAATGCTGATTCATGATGAATTGCCAAAGGAGATACCAGTGTCAGAGCAAGCTTTTGTTTATGCGTCCCACTGAGCTGTCTGCCGGGGCTAGCACCCAGCTTTCACCCTGTCCCCATGGGTCCTGTGAACAGTGGAAAATGTCACATGCAATTGTAATTTTTTTCATGTAAATGTAATTTAATCACTTTACATTTGGGCATCTTACAATATCTCCCTTGGAAAATGACTTCATTTCCTGTTCCCTAGAAATTCAGTTACTCCAAAACCAAATTTCTTCATCCACCATTGAGTTCAGAACCTGTAAGATGAAACCCAACCAATAAATGTGTGTTTCAGGATTAGGCTTTTCAAAAATACCCTGGGGTGGGGGGCGCCTGGGTGGCTCAGTCAGTTAAGCACCTGCCTTCAGCTCAGGTCATGATCCCGGAGTCCCAGGACTGAGCCCTGTGTTGGGCTCCCCTCTCAGTGGGGAGTCTGCTTCTCCCTCTGACCCTCCCCCCACCATGCTCTCTCTCAAATAAATAAATAAAATCTTAAAAAAAAATACCTTGGAACCCTGGGTAACAATATAAGGATCACTAAGCAAATCACATATGACCATTAGAAGAAAATAATTGCTGTAACATGAACTATCATGAAAATGTTAAAAATGTGGGCCCCACTCAGGAATTTTTTCATAGAAGATTAACAACTACAGATGGACATTTTTAAGTCTGTCAATTCCCTGAGGCTCTAGTACCTTATTATTCATTGTAAAGGAAAGCTGAATGATATTCTTTCTGGCAAGAAAGATTATGATAGCCCAGCAAATATTACAGTAATGATGTGTGAAGCATATCCTGCTCTTAAGGAACTCACTGAGAAGACGAAATTATCAAAAACACCCCCCTTTGCCTGTAAGAATGCAGTCGGCTTCTCATTTTGGCACTTAGGTAGCATTCAAGTTGTAAAATGAGGTTTTGTGTGTTTGTTGTTCTTCAATTTCCAGCACATTTTTTCAGTTATAATCATCTGTCTGGAGTTAGAACAGAAAGCATTAAAATCAGTGAAAAACTTAAAATACATAGACTGACTCAGCAGTTCTACCTGTAATAATTTAGCCCACAAATACACCATCAAACAAAATCCTAAATGATGGTAAAGATGTTCATTGCCATGTTGTTTGTAATAGCAATTCCTAAAAATAACCTAATATGCTCTGATAGAACTGGCTAATCTATTAATTTATTATAGTATAGCCCTTTTTTAAAAGATTTATTTATTTATTTGAGAGAGCGAGAATGAGAGAGAGAGAGTACATGAGAGGGGGGAGGGTTAGAGGGAGAAGCAGGCTCCTTGCTGAGCAGGGAGCCCAATGCGGGACTCGATCCGGGGACTCCAGGATCATGACCTGAGCCGAAGGCAGTCGCTTAACCAACTGAGCCACCCAGGCGCCCCTATAGCATAGCCCTTTTAAGAATGAGGTAGACCTATATTTCTGAGTTGTAAAAATTTCTAACAGCAGAAGTTCAAAATTACTTTAGAGAGAGTTAGAGGTAACTGCCTCTTGGAGGTGGACATGAGTTAAAGTTTCCCTGGAAGAGCCATGTGTCAAAAATTCATCAATTGTGCATATCAAAGACAAGGGGACATGAAGGGTGGCTAACACCTACCAAGCAAGCTTTTGGAATTGCTCCTGACCTCCAACACCTATTATTAAGTGGAAAAGGCAAATTATAGAGCCCAAGTAACACATGTGGATGGGTTGAACATATACATTTGCTTCTCTTCCCCAAATTGCATTCAGTAGAAGAGATAAAAAAATTAAAAGTGCCACAAATCCACAAAGACAAGAGGACAGGAAACAATATTGGAGAAGAAATCAATAAAATTTTGGAAGCTAGAAGCAGATAGCCAAACTTACAGTTGACTTAGCATGCCAGAGAAAGCTGAAAACTGTCCATACAGAGATTTCCCAGGTACCTCTGAGACAGCAGTGTGTGTGTGTGGGGGGGGGAGCGGTGCGGGGAATGGCGTTGGTTGAAAGTTTATAAAGAGACGCAGTTGGATCTTTAGATCTTTCCTACATCCTGACCATAGCCTGGAGGTCTTCTCACTGGAGAAGCAAACCAAGAGAGACTTTGGAATCAGTCACGGTTGGTAGGGACAAAAGAGCTTATTTCACCAATGATCAAGTGAAAATACATGCAATAAATAGTGTCCTTCCCCCAGGAGAGCTTCACAAAGGCAGGGGACTGGGTTAGCCTCAAGAGAAAAAACCTCACATAATAGATCTCTTCCTGATCACCTTATATAAAGCCACCTGTCAGTACCTGCACCCATGCAACTTCCAATCAACTCATAGGTACCTCATCTTAAGTCAGTAGCCTAGGATTACTGGACATTTGAAAAAATCTATCACACCAAGGACAAAATAACAAACAGAACAAAAGAAACTCCAAGGAACAGAGACCTTGAAAAGAAAAACCAAAGAAACATCGAACTCCCCCCACCCCAAAAAACTATAATCTCTTCAGAGAAACAAGAGCCTACATCCATGACATAGCTTCCTAGCACAGCTATATAAAAAGAATATTCAGAGAATATAAGAAAAAGTTAAAAATTTTTATAATAGCAAAAGTAAAAAAAGTAAGTAGAAGATAATGTGGAGAAATCTCTCAAGAAAAGGAGAACAAAGACAAAAAGAAAATATGATAAAAGATAAGAAAAGTAGAGGATCAGACCAGGAGACATAACATCAAAATAAGATTCCAGAAAGAGAGAATGGGGATGGAATAGAAATGAGGTGATCAAAGAATTAATAGAAGAAAATTCTCCAGATTTGGAGAACATGAGGTTCCATGCCCATTAAATGCTATAAGAAAAAGGAAAGTCAGGAGAGAGGAGGACCTGTTTCTACACCAGCAGAAGCAGAAAACAAATCTGACTTTACATGGTTGTTACCAGGACTGAACTCAAGGATATCTCCTGAGCACTTAGAACTGTGCCTACCAGGAATTAGTAGTAAGTGCAAGAAAATTATTCGGTGAAGATGCTTTCATTAGTTCTAAAATATCTAATGGTTCCTCCTCTTCATATTTCTCCGTTCCATCCATGTTGTTTGAGTGGTAGCAACACCAGAGTTTTATAGCTGCCCACACGGTGAACCTTTGCCGATCATATGCTGAATCCTGAGAATCAACATTTCCAAACAGAGCAGTTTAAGCTGAAGAGAACCCTTGCACTTTGATTGGACAGGGCATCCATGACTGAGTGAGACTAGTGTGGAGTTCAGCTAATCAGCCTTAGCCCCATCCCTATTTTGAGATGCTCAGTTCTACACAAAGATTCCTTATTGTCTCTGGTTCCAAAGAAGTGGAACTGAGCATTGAGAGACGTGCACCTTCTCTCTAAAACCCGCAACTCACAGCATTACTACTATTAACAAAACCCAAATCAGCAACCATGCTTAATCCTCCAATTAAGTACCACACAAATTCATGCATCATCTTTATCACAAGTCGTTTTCATTGACTAATAAATGCATGGACGGTGACCTCTCTGCTTATTTTTGTGCTTGGCTTGGAATTAGTTCTTTCATCTTAATCTGCCCTGCCCAAGAGGGCCAGGAGGACTTCCACACCCAGGACCAGCCCAGCCTGGCTCCATCAGACCCTTAGGAGCAGAAAGCAGAGAGGGAAGGCATTGGTTCTTTATCTAACAACCTTATTTTACGGAGAAAGAGAGAGGTTGAGCGAATGATCCAGGACAATATGAAGTAAGTGGAAAAGCCAATCTCTGGAATCCTGGTCCAGTACTCTTTGTCAAATTCTGGCTTGATTAACTTCCCTCGTTCTTCCCACTGTCCTCTGTTGCACACTTTTGTTTACTCAGGATCAGCTCAATAGTTATTTCTTACTGGTTTCTGCCCTCTGGGAGGTTTTGATTATATAAGAAAGATAAGGCTAAAAGTAATAAAACATGAAATAGATGTTAATCATTAGAGTATCTGGGGTCCACAATAGCCAAAATGTGGAAGCAACAGTTTGGAAGTAACCAAACAGATGAATGGATAAACAAAGTGTGGTATAAACATACAATGGATAGTATTCCAGCTTAAAAGAAATTCTGGTGTGTGCTATAATGCAGAGGAACCTTGGAGACATTATGCTAATTGAAATCAGCAAGGGCCAAAGGACAAATATTGTATGATCCCACTTATATGAGGTATCTACAATAGTCAAATTCATAGAGACAAAAATAGAATGGTGGTTGCCAGGGGCTAGGGCTGGGGCTAGGAGATGGGGAGCTCTTATTTAATGGGGACAGTTTCAATTTGGAAATATGAGAAAGTTCTAGAGAAGGATAGAGGTGATGATTGTACAACAGTGAGAACGCACTTAAGGCACTGGACGGTATACTTAAAAACGGTTAAAATAGCGAATTTTTATGTTTTATAGATAGACACAATAAAAAGACTTTTTTTTCACAAGTATATGTGATAAATTCAGACACATGCTCTCACATCCCCAGGAATCATAAGCCGCTCTCGCAGGCCAGAGAACCTCCCTTGCTGGTAGGCCGCCATTTCCTGACACTGGGGTTCCATCTTACCTGTGTGGCTTGAGGCCACACATGGTCCAGTCGGGCCCATTCCACATTCTCTCGCCATTTCGCGATGGTTTTCCTCTCCCATTTCTCTTTCCTCACATCTGATTCCCAGCCCCAAATCAAAACGAGTTCAGAGAAACTGGATTTCTGAGGCACCGGGGCCTAGATACGAAATTTTATTCTATTCTTCTTGCTGTTCAACCTTCGTCCACATTCTTCGGAGAACCCCATAGTAAATTAAGCCAAATTCAGTCCACAGTCAGTAATACAGCCTCCTCCTAAATTCACATCTCCAGATGACTAGGGCTTTATTCTCTGACCCCTTCAAGACGATTCCTGATAATGGGGACTTGCCCCTACTTGAGCACGGTGGCCTCAGGGCCCCGCTAGAGCCCCCGTGGTGCCGCTGGGGAAGACTTGTGACTCTCTGCGCACCCCTCTCTTTCAGTGCACCGCTTCCTGTGGGGGTGGCTTTCAGAAGAGGACCGTCCTTTGCGTCTCCTCAGAGGACAATACGACTGAAGACCGATGCCCGTGTGATCACGAACCCAGACCTGCAGAATTCCGAAAATGCAGCCAGCAGGCCTGCAAGAAGAGTGATGGTGGGTGAATGACTTCGCCGGCTGGGGAGAGAGCTTTTCATAAATAAGGTGTCCCGTGTGAATTGATGTGGATAGTTTTAGTCCCCTTTTTGCGCCAGGAATCTTTATACTGAAGAGGCCAGCCAGCTCCACTCAAAGCAAGCTGTCCATTTGGTGAGGTTTGACTCTAATTCCTTGAGGGGTTATTCATCCATTTTCCTGTCTCAGAGTGCATTCACACTGACGTCATCCTACACAGATGAGAATCACTTCTGCTTTTTCCGGGATTTCTGAGAGATGCGCCAGCCTTTCTCAGGAAACCAGTCAGGTCCGGAGCGGCCTTCTCTGTCAATGCAGCACCACAGGCTTAGATCAGGTTCCACAGAAACAGCTCTGAGGTGCAGATCTGGGTGCCAGGGATCCATTTCGGAAGTGCTCCCGAGGAAAACCGTGAAGGGAGTGGGGGAGGCAGGACAGAGGAGGGAGAAAGCACAGCCAGGTGGCTGCTTCAGCCTGGTCCCACAGGGGAGCTGCAGGGTGGAAGCCATGGGTCGGAGCCGTCTGCTCCTGAGGCCGGGGAGCTGGACTTTCACACTCCCACACTTTTCAACCATGGGCCAAGGGCTACCCTAGCGGAAGGGAATTCGCAGGTGTTAAAAGTTTTCTACATGGAGAGACAAACCAGCTCCAGTAGGCTCTGTGGGCAATCCCCCCAAAGAGCCAGCGTCTCTGGGCATTAGTGGCTGAAGAACAGGGAGGCTGGGACCGGGGGGTCGGGGGTGACACATGAAAACGAAGCAACACATCTAAGGAGGGAGACCCAAACAGGGGAGCATCAGTGTTGTCTGCTACATTCAACCTCCACTTTCAGAAAGCATCCCAAGTTGAATGACTTCTGATCACCTTTGTCATGTTAAGTATGTTGAACTACAGCCTGGAAAGGTTAAGAGGCCTGTTTATGAATACAGGGGGGGACCGATTGCAGAGCCAGAGTGCCAGGCCAGGTCTCCTTCTCCCTCCCATGCCTCACTTCCTCGGGGGTGAAAGGAATCCAGCCTTGGAATCAGACAGCAATGGGTGTGCATCTTGCAGCAGCCTCTTTCTATCTATGTGACCTTGGCAGGATATTTAATGCTCTGAACCTATTTCCTTTTGGATGTAAGGAGGATAATAACACAAGCCTTCCAAAGGTATTGTCAAGATTTTAAATACCAGGTATTAAGTAGGTTTGAAAAGAAAAAAGAAAATTCCATCAACAAACCAGTTCAGTTACCTTCCTTGGGCAACTTACTCATTTCAGTAGCCTATAGTTTTCTTATCCATTTATGAATGGGTTCAAACATGAATTTTAATGTCCATTCCATTGGTATTTGGGGCTTCATTGATACGTGAGGGTTTTTTTTTTTTTTAATTAAATTAAAAACCTAGAGAGAAGGTTTTCAGGCAGGGAGAGAGGATTTTTTGATAGTTGCATCTGTTACAAAGTAAAGAATGCCTCTTATAGATGTAGTCCTGAGATTGGGATTTAGAGGGTCAGGTTGAATTTACTCTGCCCCTAATTAAAGAACTGACTACTAGACATCAGCAGCTAAGAGAAAAACTCTTGAAAACTAGCATGTTGGTTGTACACAGTGGTAGTTGTGTTCTGAAGATTCTTCAAGATGAGAGGTAGTGAAGGCTGTGGTCTGTTAATCTATTCCTCACCTCCTTCCAAGGACTGAGGGTGCTGACGTTCAACAGAGACTGCCATTAGAGGTCATACCCTGAGAAAATTTTCCCTAGAGGTTGCTTGTTGACAAATCACGCACTTACTCAGCAGATATTTGCTGGGCCCTGACTTGCCTGACTTGACTACATGTAAACATAATGTCAAACAAGACTGCAACCCAGTGACACTGATAAGGGAGGTAAGGATGTTACAAGAGTTCTTGGAAAGGGCATTAACTGTAAACTGGGGAGAGCAGGGAAGGTCTGCAGAGGGAGTGAAGGATGAATAGACAGGTCAGACGGGAGGTTCCTGGAGAGGCTTTCAGTTTCTACAGTAATTAGGAAGAATACAAGGTCATGGCACAGGAGTCTAACTCAACTCAAGTATGAAGGTCATGGGAAGCTAGGAATGGTAGGGCTGGAGGGAAAAGCTGGAGCTTTGGAAGCATGCCAAGGAGTTTGGACTTTATCCCCAATGCAGAAGGAGCACTGGAGTATTCCAGACAGGGCTGTGGAGATGAGAAAGTCGTGCTGGCTGCCATGTGGAAGATAGATAAGGAAGACCACTCAGGAGACTGCAGCAATATAGTCCTGCTTGACCATGCCCAGTGTTAAGGGCTGTTCAATTCTACGTAGATGGTCTTTAACTGTTTTATTGCTGGACAGTGCAATCTTCAATAATCAAAACCAGGTTAAATGCATACTTGGTATTTTTTTCTCTTGAAATCTCACACTGACAAGATGATGACTAACAGCTGACTGACAATGGATATAAATAGCAATGAATTTCACTCATCAACAATTATCAGAGCAACAAGAGTTAATTACTAGCTTCTCTTGAAGGCAGAGCATGCTTACTCATATAGAAACAACATGAAGAGCAGCTTCAAGAAATTCCTTGCTTTTAAAAACCCACCACCCACCCTTACCCCTGTGCCTTCTGAAATGCTTTGAAAATAAATCATTCAGTGCCTGGAATCTTGTCAGCCAGCTAGCCATCACAATAAACATATGCCCTGTGTCCATCTTACAAGATCAGATATCAATTCCACATAAGGTTTGCTTTCCTCCAGGCCATTTTACTTCCTTTCGATGCCATCTAAGTTGTTGATGATTTAAATTCTAAATCAGAACTACCATTTCCAAAGTAGAGACTGTAAAACCCTAAGTAGGTTAAAAATTTTTTAATTTATCCAGAAATATTTACTGAGTATCGGGTATATTCTAGGCATTACACTCATAATGATTAAAAAACAAAAGCAAAACTCTTATGCACACCATTCCTGGGTTTTTTTGTTTTAGTTTGTTTGTTTGTTTGTTTGTTTGTTTGTTTTAAGGAATGAGGGGTAGAGAAGGCAAGAGAAAGAATAAGGAAAGTAATAAAGACAGTACCTAGGCCCAGAGTTGCTACAAATGAACATTTGAGTCAGCAAACTTTCTACTCAGGAATATTCTTCCAGATGAATAGGATTTCATGTTTTCATTTATTCAGCAAATATAAGGGATCACAAGATACGTCTCAGACAAGTGCTAAAAAGTGAGGATACAGAAATGAGTATAATACAGCCCCTGGCCTCAAGGAACCCAAACTCTTACAGAAACTGTATTTGTCAGCAATATTGAAATTGTTTTTCAGCTTTCTTTTGTGGGCAAAATATTATCCTTTCAACCTAGACACAGCTGACAACAAAGAAACAAGCTTCTAACTGTCCCTTTAAATTTCCAAGCTTGGTTTCTGTTGAACTGGCAGAGGCAAATTGGGATCTCCTCTCCAAGTTGCCCCTAATTATAAGCATTGTGTGTGCTTCGGCCGGGATCCAGTTTGCTGATGAACACAACAAGCCTTCATTGTTTTATAATAATAAAGAGAACTGTGCAGTCAAGCCATGCCACGATGTTAGGCTCATGGTCATTGTCTAAATGAGCTTCTAAACACGGGCCTGGAGCACAGGCTCCCAATTTAGGCCACCACTATCCGTTCTTCCTTCAAGTCCCCCACTCTTGAACAGGAGGACTGCAAGACCCAGCGTGCTTCCAGGGCTCCGAGGACCACTGAAAAGCAGAGTTCATAATCCCATGGTTCCCAAGATCAGGCAAGAACACCAGGTGTGGCTGAGCCTCTGTTGTTCCTGGAGGTTTCACCTAACCTGACAGTTGGGGGGCCTGTGTCGAACAAGTGAAGATGCTGTGTTCAAGGAAAATCTGTCCATGTGACCCCCTCCTTCCGCATCGCCAGTACAAGAGCTTCATTCCCTTGGTGGCCGAGTTTTAGAGGCCCTGAAGCAACATCCAAATCCCAGCCACCAGCTACATGTCAGCTATGCAGTATTGGGCCAGTTACTAAGCCTTTCTGGAACACCTCAGTTTTTAAAAGAATAGCTATACCTACAAGTCCATTTCTATGTGGATCCAGTGAGATGGTATCTAGGAAGTACATTACCTGGTATGGGGTAAGTGCTCAATACGTTGTATTTCTGTTATGACTGTTGTCATAGGGGAGGAGGTGCATTACTGTCCTAGGGCTACCATAACTGACTACCAGGACCTAAATAGCTTAAAGCAACAGAAATGTATTCTCACAGTTCTGGAGACCAGAAGTTCAAAATCAAAGTCTCGATAGGGCCATGCTCTCTGTCTTAGCTTCTGGTGGTTGTGAACAATCCCTGGCTTTCCTTGGCTTGTAGCTGGGTCACTTCAATCTCTGCCTCTGTCCTCACACAGCCAGCTTCCCCTCAGATGTCCGTGTCTTCCGGTGGCTTTCTCTTCACTGTGTGTACCTGTGTCTCCTCCAGGACACTAGTCATGTTGGATTAAGGGCCCACCCTATTCTGGTATGGCCTCATCTTAATTTATATCATTATTACACCTTCAAAGAAATATTTCCACATAAGGTCACATTCACATGTACCACTCCCACTTTGGGGGACACTTAAACTTTGGAGGATGTAGTTCAGCCCACAACAGGTTAGGGCTTTGGGAGGCTCTAGGAAGCCCTTTTTAGAATGGTAAACACCCTTGAGAGATCACACCAGAGCCTTATCAGAAAAGGCTCATACCATCATTTACAGAACAGTTCAAGATAGAATGTAGTGCTATGTTTGAGCAAATGTTACAATAATAATGCAAGTTGGGAGACTGAGACAGAGGGGATCCATGTGGGCCAGCATGGCCAAGAGAAGCTTCGTGAAGAGATGGGATGCAAGCTGAGCTCTCACACTTCCTCTGTCTTCTTCCTTTCCTGAAGTAGCCCCAGAGCACTCCCATACTCATTTCAGGGAAGATGTGGGGCAGAGAGCTACACCACATGCCCCTCTTCCAGCCACCATCCACAAGGGCTTCAGGAGACACTGGCTAAGAAATTGGAGCAGGCCCGTGACACCCAGGTGTCCATGCTGGTCCTGTTCCAAAGCCAGCAGCCTAGAAAGGAATCCTTGCCTGGTTCTGAACACCAGTGCACGTGATGCCTGGTCCAGACCCCACGGAGAACACTGGCTGCCCTCGTGGAGCTGTGGGAGAGGAAGAGCCCAAATTCTTCTTCCAGTAGGACTCCTTGGCTGAAACGTGTACTCCTTCTGAAACAGAGCATCAAAGAAACTTTCCTGTGGGATTTTAGGAGAGATTGGATTTTATAATAGGCTTAAAGAAGAGGCCTAAAGAAGAAAAGAATCAGCAGTGAAGATTTTTGGGTTCTAGGAACATTGTGTGTTACCAATTCCCAAGTGCCGTTCGAACCTGCAAACAAAATAGGATTGTGACAGCTAACTGAAGACATTTATTTCTTCGCGGAAAAACAAGGTCCCGTCAAGAGAATGATGAGCTATGAGGAGATTAAAAGCATTTTTTTTTGCCTTCATGACTGGAAGGTGAAAAAAAGGCAGAAAGAGGAAAAAATACTTGCACAGTTTTTGGGTAAAGAGGATAGTACCTCAATCTCTACTTTTAACTGCCAGTCCTATTGACAGAAGACAGGAGCCTGTTTGTGAAAAAAGTTTTTCTTCAAAACTATTCAAATCTCTTCTGTAAGGAAGAAAGCAAGGCAACCAGAGCTCAGAGAGGCACTCAGGCAAAGTTTGAAACAATTTCACTTTAGAGAAGAAAAATCTGCTCTTTGGGGCCTTATTGAATATCTTCCAGCCCAAGAGTACATGGACCAGTCCAACCTGAGTGCCGCTCCTAGAATGTATGTGCTGGGGACCCCTGAGAAATTCCCTGCATCTTGGATGAGGAAATCAGGCCAAGGGGCGGGGAGGGGGGGGTGGATGAGGGACTTACTTGCCTAGAGGTTTCGGAGTAGAACAAGGATTAGAATCCAGGTAACTCATCGGATGCTTACTGTGGGAATTATCTGTGTATGTTTTATGTCTTCATCTACGTGGTACATTTCTGGAGGGCAGTGATCACATTTTATATATCTGTAGCTTCTGCCCTGCTGAGCTCTGCTCAGAACCCGTTGGTTAGTCAGCTAGCTGGGTTATTGTCTGGTGCTTTGAATGGTATGATTGGTAAAACTGTCTCTGTTGAGCTCTGGCTATGCCACTTACCGGCTGGGTAACATTGTGCAGCTTTTTAACTTCTGTAGGCTTCACAGTCCTCATTTGTATAATGGAAAGACTCCTATTTGCCTGATCGCACTGCTGGGGAGATTAAGTGAAGCAATGCACGTGAAACATCGCGTTCAACTATCGCATGACAATATTGCAGAGCCAAACACCTCTAAACCCAGGGCCCTAAAACTACCATCATGTGTAGTTAGCTCAGCGTCTGCGGGTCAGCTAAGGTTCAGCTAATCTAGCTTGGCCTTGGTTGGCCTTGACTGCCAGCCGTAGGTTCGGTCTAGGTTTGCTCCATGTGCCTCCCATCCTCTGTGGTCCACTAGCTGTGCGAAACAGGTCCTTCTCCTGGGGACAGCAGAAGCTCATCAGGCCGGGCTCATCCCCCTGCACCTCCCAAGGCCCCGTAAGGATCACCTCTACTGATACCACATTGTCCAAAGCAAGTATTGGGCTGAAGCCAAAGTCGAGCAGTGAAGTGTTCACCGCCCACCAGGCAGCCATGGCAAGGGTGGGAATGTGTATATAACACTGTTACACAGGAGTGAAGAACTGTGACTCATAATTCAGTTTAACACAAACACTTCGCACAGTGTCTGTTACATAATCACTGTTCAGTGGATGTCAACTACTGTGAATTATTGTGAAGCCTTTCTGGGTAGACATATAACATCTTCCATTAATAGAAGTTGTGCTCATTCACTTACAAAGGATAATCTTTGTTTTTTTTTTTGTTTTGTTTTATTTTTCTCTCCTTCCACAGATTTACTTTGCACCAAGGACAACTTATCAGCCAGTTTCTGCCAAACACTAAAAACCATGAAGAAATGTTCTGTGCCCACTGTGAGGGCTCAGTGCTGCCTCTCATGTTCCCAGACACACATCGTCCACACCCGAAGACCAAGAAAGCCACAGTTGCTCAAAAACCCCAAAGCATTCTAAGTCCAGAAGGAAGCCACCCCCCACCACAGACTGCAGCAGCCCGGGGACTGACTCGACTGCATTCTAGCCCCAGGAAACCACTTCACTGAGGTTTTCCAGTCCAACTTTGGCTCAAAACAAAATCCCCTGTGTTTTATTAGCCACAAAATGCCCTTGCAAAAGGCATGGGACTGTAATGTTTGCTGCTCCCTGATAGGTGAGATATCCAAGAGGTTCAGGCATCTCCTGGGATGTGCTCTTGGGAAAGGTGCCAAATTAGGTAAGTCAGTGACATGATGTCTTTTCCCCCCTTGAAAGTAAAAACGAAGACACCAGATTTTTCCCAGACTACCTCAGGAGTATCAGGAAATAGAACCACATGCATCCAGGGAGCAGTCTTATTGATTTACCTTGGTGAAATCATCCTTTTTTTCCCTCCCTGGTTGGGGAAGCTGCTGTTTAATATGTCATGGGAGAGATTTCAGAAACATTCCTTTAATTCACCCAGGCAGAGGGCCACTTTCTTCAGCCAGTACTCAGCTGGAGCAGGGAGAGAAAGTGTTGGCTATTATCACTCAGCCCCCGTAGACTCGGTATCTGGGCTCTTTAGACTCCTGTGCCTGCCTGGAGACGCGAGAAATGAGAGGAAATGGTCAGAAACTGTAGGATTTAGCAAAGGTAAGGGATTTAGCTTAATTCTAGGGAAGACGTTTCTGACTCAAGGATAATTTCTATGAAAACTCTTAAAAAGGAAATGAACAGAAATCAATTTCTTGCCGGTGTAAGAAAAGAAACGTGGACCTTTATACTTCCCACTTTCCTGGCCAATACCTTTCCTTTGGGGAAGAGCTGATGAGTCTTCCCATCTGACTTCCTCTCCAGGGTGTTCCCTGCCTGAGTCATCAACTCAGAGGTCCGACTGTCTTTCCACTGCTGGGGGTCCCTGCACAAGAGCTGTCATAGCCAGGTCCGTGGGGGCGACACCCCCCCACCTACCCCAAGGACGGAAGATGGAGCTCAAGATCCAAATATTTCAGAGGCCCAGGTCAACTGTATTAAGTACAAGAACTGATACAAACTTCTAGTCTTGAGGGAAAAAACCCACAACTCAAAGTGAGGTTAATCATGACCCCCATACACCCAATAGTTACTTCTGAAGGTCTGTTCCTTGATCTATTCTCCAAGTCAGGAGAGTCCAAAACAGTGAAATGAACGTGAAAATGCTTATTCTGGATGTTCTCACCACCCATCAGGAGGCTGTGGTCTCAACTACAAGGCAACTTTCCTGGTTTGTAAGGGGAGGCATTTACGTGAACTGAACCCAGAGAGTGAGGACGGCTGGGTGGGTGGGGGCCTCTTGACAGAGGGGGAGGCAGGGATGGGGCCTTCACGTTGTGAGCAGCAGCGTAGTGCAGACTTGTGCACAGGTAGAGGGCAGTTGCTATTCCCCATGGAGCACAGTGTCCCCTAGCTCCCTTGAATTACCCATCCGTTCAGCAGAATGGTGCTCTTGAAAAACGGTGCTAGTAGCTAGAAGGTGGCAGGACTAATATAAACACACAGATAGATGTACCAGCGGGCAAGTCCATCCGCGTCTGTTAAACGTGTAATGGTGTTGCTGGCCAATGCCAGTTCTATTGCTTGGACACTAGAAGCTTAACGTTGTTATATGATGTGCTTTGTATTTTTTTTTTTTCAAGCCATTAATGTGTATTATTCTGATAAACTCCTGTAGAAAATAAAACACTGGGGCTGGGATGGAACTTAAGAAAGAAGAGAAACAGGATGAAAACAGACATGTTTACCTGAAGCCAGGGAGTTTATTTCTCGATGATGACGTTCTTGTATTCTCTGTCTTTAAGGGCAAACATTGCTGGCTGATGATATAATCTCTGGTGAAATGACAGTTTTAGAGAGGAGAGGCTTAAATGGTTAGTGACGTGAGTGGTAGAGGAGAATCTGGTTTTTTCTAGTGAGGCAGTTCACTAAGACTGTTCCTGGAGTGGAGTGTGGGCTTTCGGGGGGCTGAATGTCGTCACTGGGGCTGAGTTATTTCACCTGGTACTGTACTAGCTATCAGAGGCTTATGCATGTCATCAGAGACCTGGATATGACCAGTCTTTCAAAACTCAGGAATAAACCCAGATCCCTACTGACCTCAGCAAACTCAGCTAGGCCAGATTTCCCAATACACAAAGTGGGCCACGTTATTTGTGACCCACGTGGTGAAGAAGATGATAGACATGTGGGGAGGGTCTGCCCAGATACTCCATTCTAGGCCTTTCTCCAGTTTCTCAAAGACAAGAAATTAGCCCCTAATCATGCATCTCACACATTCCCTTCCTGTGTGGAGGCTGCGTTGTGGGATAGTTGTGTGGCATCCATTATTCTGGACTCCAGGATAGAAACAGCCCTTGTTGTTAGAGTCATCTGACACAGTCGTTACCTTGACAGTCACTCAGCTGTGGATCATCAGGCTTTTGACAGGTCCCTGTGTTTGCGATCAGAGAGGGGAGACCCTGAAGACAAGAACCTAGACAGTGTCTTCACCATTTCTTCAGAGCTCACAGGGGACAACACGAAAGCAGCATCATTGGTTTATTTAACACACGTCCTCTTTTCTTCCCACCTTGAACAAGCAAGTGAGAGGTGTAGCAAGACACACTGGATACCCATCTACCATGAACCAGAGAGGCCACCGCAGGGTCTGGTGCTTAAATGCAGCAAGGTTCTCGAACCCATGTTGGTTTACATTGCCTTTCACGTGGTAGAGTTCGCTGTTCTCTGAAAAGTTGTGGGTTAATTTAATTCTTGAATATTGAAACGTAATTTAGTGCACCATGAGAAAACAGTATTTCAAGAGACTAGTGAATACTTTTCTAAAAAGGGAAATCATTTTGTGGATACTACGGTTGCCTCTTTGTGGGAATGACTTGTTGGATGATGGGCTTTCTTGGTGCATGCGTCCCAATGTGGTGCTTTCAGATATTTAGGGAATGTTTTTGATAGATTTCATCAAGTTTCTGAAGCAAATTTGAGAGATTTATATTGTTTCAGACTATAATTTCCCAATCAATTGGCTTAAATCCTTCAAACTCTAAGAGCTACACATTGCTACCCCAGAGATTGCAGGTCTTAGCTCTTCTCCCTCTGACTTTAGGTTGAAGCCAGGGGACAGTGTATCTGGTGCTCAGTGCACAGCGATTCACTTTCAGGGGAGAAACCACATGACATGAATTGCCTGGTGCTATAACTTAGCCAACATATTTGATGCTACTCCTGTTTTGTTGTATTGCAAATTCAAATATTGTTATTATTAGTATTATTATTTTAAATTATATCATTTAAAAAAAACCACATAGTTGGCAAAGCACAGTTCTACCTATGACTGTCCTCCAAAGTGGTTGTATAATGTATATGGCCCAACCCATTTGCTCTCCCTGCATCTCTGTGCTGTGCTGGCCAGGCCCAGCCTCCTTAAGGGGTCCCTTGGTGGGTACCTCAGTACTTAAAACCAGATTGTAATCATAGCCTGCCTTTGGGTGGTATTAATAAATGGCTAAACTCATTGATGTTTCCATGTGATTCATTTACTCCTGCTGTGAGACTCCCACCACCCACCAGTGTTACCCTGGAATTTAGCAACTGGAGGAGGATGATGCCAATTTCTTCCTCCCACACTCCATGCAGATTCCTTTCTCTTCCACCCCAGCTCATTATGTCCCCGGATGAGTCACAACCCAGGTGAGGTAGAACGTAGGTCTCTTCTCCTGAATGATCATACAACTGACACAGTCCACCGTATGATGATCTGAAGTGATGCCTAGAATTCTCCTCAGCACCAGGTTCAGTGTATTCAGACTTGCAGCTCACAGTAGAACCTACTTCCTCAATCTATCCAACATGTAGACATAATGTTTAAGAGAAAGTAACCCATCTCTGGAGGATCTTACTCTGGAAATCCAATCCTTTTTCCAAAATGGTACATAGCATAACAAGTGTAGTCAGCAAAGTTAGAATTTGGACATGGAGACATGGAATTTACTCAGATGGAACGAGTAAAAATGAGACTGGCAAGAGTCAGGCATCTGCGGGCAATCCCTAGGATGTTCAAAGGCATACGCCAGAGTGGTATCATTTTTTGGTCGAGAAGACCTCACAGAGGGCCATGAACACCTCCTTGTTTGTACCTTAAAAACTCTTCTTTCTGTGATGACTAGGGAACTCTTATCCTACAAAACTCAGATTAAATTCTGTCTCTCTCTGAGAAGCTTACACTAACCCTGCCAGAAAGACTGAGACACTTCTCTGATCCTCCTCCACCTTGTCTATTTTTCTCTAGAACAATAGTTCTTAATCAAGAATGATTTTTGTCCCTAGGAAACATTTGACAATGTCTGGAAACATTTTTGGTTTTCACAATTTGAGGGGTAGGAGAGTGGGGAGAGAGTGCTATAGGAATCGCCAAGATTTCTGCTAAACATACAACATGACAGCCCCTCCCCCCAACAAAGAATTATCTGGTTCAAAATGTCAATAGTTTGAAGTTGAAAAACTGCACTCGAACGATTATCACCCTGGAGTGAGTAGCAGCATTTCTGGGTTGAGTAAAACTGAGCTCACCCTAAAATTCAGAACCCACAAAAAGACTGATGAGGTGGGTCAGGAAACCTCCAAAGAAGAAAACATGTTTATCAGGATTCAAAGCACATCTGCTTGAAAAAGCATCTTAATGTTGGAGGAAAGAGTAGTGAGCATAGCTCCAAAAGAGATTTAATCAGCCCCTGGGGGCTCAAGTGTTCAATCCTAGAGCCAGGGGCAATAAACCAAAAACAAGTAAAATAGAAAAATGACATATTAGGGATTTGGAATAATCCTCCTCTTCCAACTGAGTTTTCTACCCAAACGGAACAGACATAAGTCAGATCAAAATAATAGCTTTCCTAAAGGTGAGGCTGGCCTAGAGAGCATACTTTGGATGCAGATAGGAAAGGGTTTTCCTATCCTTCTCTATCTCTCCAGGTTTCAGGCTCAAGAAAGATAGGGGCCAGAGAAAGAGAGAGAGAGAGATGGATCACTCAACCCATTAACCCGTTAAAAGTATCCATGGCCATTAAGTGTTCACCAATAGCAGCATTCCCTCCTGCACTGGGAGGAGTTATTGACAAGGGTATCACAAAGGTCCCAAAAGGATAACCCAACACTACCAACACTGAGTCCTCTTGTTTCTATGCGAGAGAGGTAAGAGTAGCATGAAGGGAAGAGATGTGGGGCTGAGGAGAACAGAGAAGGCATTATCTAAAAAGATTCCTTTTCCATAAATCCTAAATGAGGATATGACTTATTTTTTAAAGATCACAAAGAAAATACGTGGCAGGCATAGTAAAAAATAAGACAGAGATTAATGAGAGAGTGGTCCTGCTTCTGTGCTCATTCCCCAACCAAGCATTACCCACGCCTTCCCTGGACAAGTCCAAACTCTCTCCTTTTATTGGTACAGCCTGGCACACCTCCATCTCTAGCTTTGTGGGCAGTTGCCCAGACTAGGGGTCCTCAGTGATGGTGCCTGCAGCCTCAGTACTAATAGTCTATGGTGCCCGGGGTCAGAGTCCTATCAAGAGATTCCCAAAGAAGCAGCACAGTCTGGCTGGAGCTGGGCATCAGGCATCAGCCAGCTGGGGGGGGGGGGCACTGTCCTGCCCAAATGCCGATAGGAAACCACTGAGGTGTGGGAGAAAGTCATTAAGAGAATTAGTCCACAGGAGACATTCTCTTGTTGCTCCCAAACTATCAGGAATTTGTAGGGTAGGTAGGAACAGATCCAGGGGAAAACTAACTCTTAAACCATGACTAACTATATTCTTAATTTCAGACTGCCAAGAACCTGCTTAAAATTCTTTTACCAACATGCCACGCCTCCAGACTCAGCCCTTGGAAGAGAAGGAGAATATTTTTTGTTATTTCTGTTCCTGGAACTTAGCTCACTGTCTAGCACATAGTATGTGTTCAATAAAAATGTGTTGATGCCAAGTGAAGGAGCTGGGAAGATACATGAAAGTCTTTTAGTAACTGAGAGGTGAAAGATTATTCTGGAAGCTGAATTTGGTAATCCATTCAGAACCACCAGAGAGAGCTAAACTCACCATCATAGCTAGTAATCAACAATTAATTATAGGCACTTGAAACATTCAAGCAATTTTCAGGAATGGTATTTGGGACCATATATGGGTACCCTGTGAACTACCCTCTCACACAGGATCCAGGGGCTGAAACCAAGGAGCCCAATGTTTCCACTTCACTAACGTCTGATGCCCGTCCTCTTTCTGGGGTCTTTCCAGTGTTTGAAGGAGAGGCAGTATGGTGGAAGCAAACAGACTACACTGGGAGCAGAACTGGATGTAAGTCTCTGTTCCAGCACCACCAACTTGTAGACTTTGGGCAAGTCTTGTGGATTCATTCACTTACATTTCTGTCTCCCAATGTGTGATCAGCTCCCTGATGGCAAGAGTCACTTCTTATTCATCATTATCCCCCCAGTTCTTAATGCCATGTCTGACATGGAAGGAATGGTTGCCTGGACAGCTCTACTTGTGGAATGAGGCTGTTGGACTAAGTCCGGGCATCTGAGGGCTATTCAGACCACATGAAAAGCATGATGCAGCTTCTGAGCTATCGACGTGATGCAAGGTTAGGAGAAGGGAAGCACTTTATAAAATAAAATACATATTGTAGCGTATGAAGTATAAATCCTTGAAATAAAATGGGAAACTCCAAGGGCACTTCCTCAATTGTTGTAGGCCTCTCCCCTGCCTTGGGACTCTTTGGTGGAAATGTTTAAGGCTGGATATAGTGTGCTCTGAAGTCAGATCTGCTCCGAAGGTCTGTAACATGATGATTTCTTACCTTCTGGCTACTATGGAAATCCTGCTGGACATCCCCCCTCTGTTTCTCCCCTGCTGCACAGTTCCTCACTGCAGTCCCCCCCACACCCCCCACACCAATGCTCTTTGCTTGCTAGTCCAATTTTGCTGTCAGTCAACAAAGCTTTGATGGCAGCTGACTGGCTTTTTCCACTCCACCTCTCACCCCATCACCCTCCACTATCCTGGAGCCAATCATGGGCTGGATGCCAAGTAAAACAATGGTTCTCTTCCAGTTTCAACCCATAGCAGCCAGTTGCTGAGTGTTCTTCAGACCACGACTCTGAGGACGGAATGAGCGATCCATCCAAGGCACTTTATCCAGCTGGTTTATTTACACTGGTTCGAGGCAGGAGGCTGGGGGCCACTCCTGGCAGAGGAGATGAATCGCAACATTCCAGTTCCTGTTGCTGCCTCCCAAACTTCCCCCAAACTCCTTGGTGTAAGAAGAGCCACCACTTTATCGTGCTTGCCGATGATGTGGGGCAGAGGCTCAGCAAGCAGATACACAGAGGGATAATTTGTCTCTGCTCCATGATGTTGAGAACTGCAAAAACTTTGCACGAATGACTCCATCCAAAACCCCTGCACTAAGAGACTTGAGCAAATATTAGTGGGAATTCTAGCAGCTTAAGGCCTTGTCTCTGGGACAGCCCACCCTACCCCCACCTCCCACCACCCCCCATCCCAGATGAGTTTCTGTCTGGAAAAGCTCGAGTGCACGGAAAGAATTTAGCATTTGTTCCAGCCAACACTTGGGGATAGGCCCCTGACTTCCCTTTTCTTAGAGTATTTACTAAAAACTTATTATAAATCCTTTCCCCGTCCCTTTGAGATGTATATGTATCTCCTACAACCCAGAAGTGTCTTTCTCAAGGACTGAAAGCCATTCCTTTGAAATATAATCATCGGGAAGGGTGATTTCCCAGTTTCCCAGTCTCTGTGGGAGGATAGAAGCCCCACTTTGACACAGATGACCTAATCACATTGACACTGACCAACTCTCTAACCCAATTTTAGTAATTTTTCACCTCTTTACTCTGCTCAAGCCCCCCCCCCCGCCACCCTTCCTGCTCTCGCCCTCTCCCTTGAAAACACCAGTCACTTCTGCACAAACTGGAGTTGAACTCGCAAGAGTGAGGTCTCTTCCTACATTCAAGGGGAGAGGACATGGACCCACCTCTCCATGGAGCAGGTGCTAAATAACTGGGCCTTTGACTAGAAACCACCACGTGCACCAAGTTCCGAGTTCTGTGTGCGATAGAACTTCACCAGTCACAGATTCCATGTTTGCGAATTCGCCTATTTGTTAAAATGTAGTCATAACTCCCAGATCGATACTGACAATGCTCCCTGATACATGCAGATCTGCAAAAAATTGGCGTCACCTGCACACATATTCCCAGCTGAGGTTGAACAAGGCAATGCTTCTTGTTTCAGCTCTCATATAGTAAACGAGTGTTCTTTTCACGGTCTATTTAGTGCCATGTTTTTCACAGTTTAGTGCTTTTTGTTGGTGATTTCACTGGTTAAAATGGCCTCTGAGTATAGCACTGAAGTCTGTCTGGTGCTGCGAGGTGCGAGAAGACTGTGCCGGGCATGCTAAAGTCTAAGAGAATGTTGGGTTAGAATGACCTCCACAGGTCAT